GACTGTCCCCCGCCTCCCCCCCTTGCTGGCGCCACCCCTGGGCCATTTTAAAATTCAAGATGTCTGCCATCTGCCACAATTTCAAAAAAGGTGAAATTTCAAAAAGACCTTGAATATTTAATACTTTACAACAGTTTACAAAAACGGGGTGTTGTTTTATAACCCTATTAATCTACAATCCGGGTTGACTACTTGCACGCGATTAGGCCTACGTGGTTCTAAATTTCCTATCCGCTATTTTGTGGATGTTGACATCTGGTATCAAGACATTACGAATTTATAAATTCCATGTAGCAAGGCATGTCGACCTATGGTCTGCACAGATTAATTTTGATCACTGATCTTCTGTTTCCGGGTGCATTGTAGTTAAAGTAATCCATCTTTCGTAAGGTGATTTAAGTAAGCAAACTTGCAAACTAACTGTTCACTGATTTCAGGATAGAGATGAATTAGAGTATATGATTGTTAAAATCGAAAAGACTGTAGATAGGGTATTTTAGTATAGCCTAGGACTTCTGCACGCTGCAGACTGAGTAACTGTGGTTTCGCTGGGAATGCTCGAACGTAATATAATGTAGTTAGATTTATATAGCGCTTTATATGAAGTCACAAATTAAATTACCGAGTTCCTAACGATACACAACATTCGCGTATGGTTTACTCAAAGCAAACATATTCCAATCATTACAGTTTGACTTTTCGGGCAGGCAAGAGAGAATGAACTCGGAACAAACATGAAGAAATGTGTCACCGAGTTTCTAAATTGTGGTTTTATTACACACTTTACGCAGAGTATCACTTATGTAAGTGGACTTATAGCTAATAAATTCGGCATACTGTACAAACAAACCATATCTGAAGAAGCCCACAAAAGACATTGTTATACCAATCGTGCATTTTCTGAAAACATTTGACAATGTCAATGAATTGTTGTGTTGCCCTTAAATGAAAAATAAAAATCGGGATCGATTTGTGAATGAATACCTTATGAAAGACTTTGAACAGAAAAATAAATAAAACAGAAATGAATATGATAGACTACGATTATGACTTCAGTTTTTGTTTCTGACTTTACTCTCTCTATGGCACGGACAAGGCGTGAAGTCACACTTCTCGGATTCATTGGATTGATTATAATTTCCAATTACATTCTCTATACCATCAAGATAGAATGGAACTGGGCTGGACACACCAGCCGCATACATGACGATCGGCGGAGCTCGCTACTCACTAGAAACCATATGAGGAAAGATGGTATAGAGGTCGCCAACGGAAGAGATTTAGATACGAGCTAAGGAAATAATATGTGAACTGGTACCAAAGGGCACAAAACAGACATAACAGCCGGAGAACACATGCTGAGGCTTACATCCTGCAATGTCAACGATGGCGGAAGGAAGCGGGGTGAGGGGGCAGGGGTCCATTGGCCCCTTCATTTTTTTACTGGGGCCTGACCCTCCTCACTTTGTGTCTGTTCCCAGCACAGTGACAAACATTTTACAAACGCTGAAATGTCATTATTATTATTATTATTATTATTACTATTATTAATATTATTATTATTATTATTATTATTATTATTATTATTATTATTTGGTGCTTAGAGCATTTCCTTGAAATCCACCCTCGAGTATGAAGAAAAAAGAATGGAATCGCCCGCCTTCGTGAATTCTGTATTTAGGCATATGGGGGAGGTAGGCAGGGGCGTCGATCCGTGGTTGAAAGTGGGGGTGGGGACGTAATGAAAAATAAAGCCTTTGGCAGAACTGCCCCACCATGACAAAAGGAAGCAATGATGTTTGCATTGCTCTGAGTAATTAAGGAATTTGGAGCATGTTGATTTTGTCCCCTGCTTCCTTTTCTGGTGGTTTTTACTGAATTTTTAGTCTCTTACTTCCTTTTTGTGTTGCTAATTACTTGTTAATGAGTGGGATTTGAACATACTCAAATATATCAATATGTTTCTAATTATTAGTTCTTTGATAGTGACTAAAAAGACTCGTTTTTGAAAAAATTGTCAATTAATTCCTTTTGTTATGGTGGGGCAGAATACGCCCAAGCCTTGGGGACCAGGGGGTGAAGCCACCAGAAGCTCTGGCGCCTATAGCATATCAATTGATGTTAAGCAGTGCAATTAACATTTATTTTTATACGAAATTTTTAAAGTATCCAGTGGCGGATCCAGTGATTTAAAATAGAGCTGGGCACAGAGAGGGACTTTTACAGGCGGAAAGAGTAGACCACCTCAGCCCCACCATGGTTGGGCCTGAGGTAAGAAAATTTATGATTATGGAATCTCTAGTTGGTCGGAAATTCCACTCTCAGACTGAATTTGAATATAATTTTCATTTTTTTCCACTTTTAAATTTCGAAAAAAAAATAATAAGGATGATGTGCCGGCTGGGCCCTTTGAATCTGCCACTGAATACTCATCATAAAAAAGTTTTTCAAATTATCCTTTTAGTCATAATTATGCCCACTTATATATTTCGTGTAAACTAACATTCATAAAAATAATGATTTATTATTTACTGATTAACTTGTGACGTATTCAAAATTCCATCCATGAAAAACAAAAACGATAAGCTTAAAACAGTCATTAATTTTAATAGTCTTTTTGTATGTACAGTTCTTTTAAAATCAATCAAGATGTTTCTGCTGTTTCCTCTTTTTGAATTTCACTTTTGTGGAAGTAATATTGCGACTACACTATTGTGAGTGGAAATAATGCCGTCTAATTTACGATCAAACAGGACTAGGGAGATAGGGAGCACACAAAATATTAGTTAGCATTTTTACTTGCTTTGAGTAATTAAGGAATATGGAGCATGTTGAGTTTGTCCCCTGCTTCCTTTTCTGGTGGTTTTTACTGTATTTTTAGTCTCTTACTTCCTTTTTGTGTTGCTAATTACTTGTTAATGAGTGGGATTTGAACATACTCAAATATATCAATATGTTTCAAATTATTAGTTCTTTGATAGTGACTAAAAAGACTCGTTTTTGAAAATATTGTCAATTACTTCCTTTTGTCATGGTGGGGCAGAATACGCCCAAGCCTTGGGGACCAGGGGGTGAAGCCACCAGAAGCTGTGGCGCCTATAGCCTATCAATTGATGTTAAGCAGTGCAATTAACATTTATTTTCATACGAAATTTTCAAAGTATCCAGTGGTGGATCCAGTGATTTGAAATAGAGCTGGGCACAGAGAGGGACTTTTACAGGCGGAAAGAGTACACCACCTCAGCCCCACCATGGTTGGGCCTGAGGTAAGACAATTTATGATTATGGCATCTCTAGTTGGTCGGAAATGCCACTCTCAGACTGAATTTGAATATAATTTTCTTTTTTTTTCCACTTTTAAATTTCGAAAAAAAATAATAAGGATGATGTGCCGGCTGGGCCCCTTGAATCTGCCACTGAATACTCATCATAAAAAAGTTTTTCAAATTATCCTTTTAGTCATAATTATGCCCACTTATATATTTCGTGTAAACTAACATTCATAAAAATAATGATTTATTATTTACTGATTAACTTGTGACGTATTCAAAATTCCATCCATGAAAAACAAAAACGATAAGCTTAAAACAGTCATTAATTTTAATAGTCTTTTTGTATGTACAGTTCTTTTAAAATCAATCAAGATGTTTCTGCTGTTTCCTCTTTTTGAATTTCACTTTTGTGGAAGTAATATTGCGACTACACTATTGTGAGTGGAAATAATGCCGTCTAATTTACGATCAAACAGGACTAGGGAGATAGGGAGCACACAAAATATTAGTTAGCATTTTAATTTCACAAACATAAAGGTGATTCACTTAATTTATCATTATCAGTGGCGGCTCCAGGAAAGCAAAATGGAGGGGGGACAGAGAAGGACTTTTTGGAAAGTTTTTTTTCACAATTTTGGAAAGTAGATCACCTCAGCCCCACCATGGTTGGGGCTGAGGAAAGAAAATTTATGATTATGACACCTCTAGATTGCCGGAAAAGGCACTCTCAGAACTAAATTCTAATTATAATTTTCCTTTTTTTTTCTTTTTTTTTTTAAATAATTTAAAAAAATTTAGGGTTGGCTCGGCCCCACTTGAATCCGCCACTAATTATTATGACGTTATTGCGAGATTGCTTCAACGTAACACTGGAGCTTGTAAACTTTTGGTATCACTAAATCGAAATAGATAGACATGTCCGTGTCAAAGGCTGTATAATTATTTTATTGTTTAATGGCTATATAAAATTCAATTGACTAACTATAATTTTTTTAAATTAGGAAAAACAGTAATCCTATGTCTGTAAATAATATTAAACACTAGTATATACGGGTCATAATAATATACAAAAGGAATAAATCGTTTATAGTAGAAATTGTGCACTTTTGAGTTTGTAAAAATATTGGCCTAATAAGTATACACGCTTCCAATTTTAACAACGTTCAATACATTGTTTTCACAATAAATTTAGCCTCTGATAACCACTGCACCCATTAAATCCATCTAGTGGTTTCTGAGATGGTTACGAATTGTATAAACAATTGCGTTTTTACACTCGGTTTTGCTCTGGAAAATACGTACCGCACTTGGAAAAGTGAACAGACACAATTCATGAGTCATGCGTAATTGTTATTCTTTCCATTCGCTTTTAAAAGTGGGGTTTTAATTATAGAGGATTGGTGAAAAGTGGGAGGACAATCGATATGATGTTCCCAACCCCCCTACTTTGAAAAGGGGGGACGTGTCCCCCCTTTCCCCCACCAATCGACGCCCATGAAGGTAGGCACTCTTTATGGAGCGACGCTCTAGTTCTCTTTATGCTAACCATGAGGCCATAGATTGGCCATAAATCTTTTTACTTTGCCGCACCTACACTTTGGAATTCACACTCTGCACACATTATTAAACTGTTCTTCTGTTGCTTTATTTGAAAAATTACTTAAAACTCAATACTTAATTACTTAATTAGGTCATTTTTTTAAATAAAGTTCTCTGAAGGTTAACTACAGAGTTAAAGTACACTGCACTTAATGTGTTAGGTTGTAAAAACTGTATTAAATATTTAAAAAAATCTTTCGAATACAAAAATCTTTCGCTTGAGATTAGGAATTAGTCAATTAAGAAAGGAAACGATAAGCTATGTCAAGTGTTATATTGAACAGTGGCGAAGTCAAGCCACGGGCATCAACCTCGTATTTTTTCAAAATTATTTTTAAAAAATGGAGAAAACAGAAAAATTGTATTCAACCTTTAATCTGAGAGTGCCATTTCCGACCATGTAGAGGTGCCACACTCATAATGTTTTCTTACCTCAGGTGGGCGGGCATTCCATTAGAACAAAACCCTACCTGGGTTCCTGTACTTCGACTTCCTGGACCCGCCACAGTTGGAGTATCATTTCCTGGCTACTATAGAAGGGTAAATTTTATCCATCTGGGGAAAATTGAAGGTTTCGTCGGGAATACCTATATCAAGGATACCCCTCATGATAACTAATTCATTGAGATCGTGGAAGCAATCTCGACTTGTGGCGGATTCATGGGGTGGAGGCTAAATTTTTCAAATATTTTGTAAATGAATTTATAAAGGAAATTATATTGAAATTTTAAGTCTGAGATCTCGGCCATCTAGAGATGCCATATTCACAAATTCTCTTACCTCAACCCCAACCATGGTGGGGCTGACGTAGTATCCTCCATCTATAAGTAGCCTACTCCTTTCACTGGGCCCCCTCTATTTCGAATTCCTGGATCCGCCGGATTCCGGAAATTACAACAATTATCATACTACAATAGCTTGATGCATATAAAATAACTACTAAAAATCATCAAATCCATAGCTTCCAGGGGGATTTGCCCCCCCCCCCTAGATGCTCGCTGCGCATACTAGACCATGAAATGAAATGTCCCCCTCCCCCAACATTCAAAAATGTTCCGCCGTCGTTGAATTTGTAGTTTTTCTACAGTTTTTGTTGTTTTGAATTTCTGTTAAAAACTGTAAAAATTTACCTTCAATTAACTGTTCGCAGCAGTTGCCGGTGTATGTGAAGGGACATTCGCAACCTCCTTCCACCGCTGTTCCACGAATACACCCAGGTGAACAGACTCTCTGTTCCTGACTCGGACCAGTACACGCTGCGCCTCCACAAGACGCAGATCTACTTTGGTTCTAATCCTTGTTTGCTCGCCGTTATTTCCACAAGTTATAGAACAGGCACCCCATTCCTGCCAGTCACCCCACGCGCAATTCACAGCAGAGCACGATCGGCGGCGTCGTCGTCTTCGACGCCTCCAAAAACCGTCCACGAGTGCTATCTCAAGGATACATAAGCATATGACTGCAACAAATATTATTTTCATGGTGCTCTACTAAGGATAAGAAAAATAAAATAATGTTATATTAACTATAAAACCCCATATAATCTTAACAGTGCTTATAGTGCATGGGTGGATTAGTTTCATTTTGATTTGCAATGTTGACAGGCCAGATTCACTAAAAATAGGCCTACCGTATCGATCCTCCACTAAAGGAATTCGGCCAGGCCGACGCCAATTGTAATTAAAACTAAAAAGAAATTACTCGCTAATTGCAATTATTGAGAATAGAGCTGTCTTAACTAATAAACTTGTGTAGCATTTATTATTATCCATCAAATATAGGCTTATTAATATTATATGCTGTTTCATTTGTTGTTTTTTTTTTTTTTTTTTTTTTTTGGTCTTGATACTGCTTCAATGGTTAAAAACGCAGCCAAATGCAGGGCTGATCTTCAAAGTAATACCCTTTTATGAGATTTTAAATGTTTTTCATAACTTATTTCCTCCGCAGTATTTAAAATTACGTTCATTTATAGGCCTACTAACATTTTAGTAGCTTCATTGTAGTAGTAAATTCGCGTGTTTCGGACGCGATGTACGCGATATATTTGCATTTAAAACACCTACTTACACCCTCTTACACGAAATAACGTTAATAATGCCTGAATCGCCGGAGCGGCAAGGTGCTCTAGGCAGCACGGCCCCCAGCCAATTTTCCGTTTTCCTGGAACCCCCCCCCCCCTTCACCTCCACAATCCAGCGTACTGCACTGTATTCTTATTAAGTTTGATATTATTTTTTCCTAATATTCTTATTCTTACTTTTCTTCTTATTCTCATGCTACGTTCAGACTTGGAGATACGCCAGGCTTGAGTTAATGCCGGCTTTACTTTGCCGGGCGTTCAGACTAGCGGGTTTAGGCAGGCAAGAATTTGCATATGAACCGTAACCAGGAAACCTGTTTCAAAACATTGCTCGCGAAACATACGCTCGCTCAAAGCGTACGTATTTGAATGCTGATGCAAGACCCCCAGCAACGATTAAAGCCCGGCTTAGAAAAGTTAAACACGGTGGCGCGCCAGGCTTAGTTACTATAGGAACACAGCCTGGCTTGAGATAAGCCACCTAGTTCAGACTGGCAGGTGGATAAACCCGGTGAGTTGAGCCGGGTTTATCCACCTACTTTGAACTAGGCCTGTAATAATAATAATAATAATAATAATAATAATAATATTAGTATTATTATTATTGTGTTTGGTCTAGTATTATTAGGCCTATTATTATTATTATTAGTAATAGTAGTAACAAATATCATCAAAGCCGAAAGAATAGCTTTAACAAATATATAACCAAATAATGACGAACAAACTCTACCCCAAAATTATACTAATATAAATTGTGTTTCAGTATTATTACATTTGAAAATTTTTATCTAATATCATACGGTACCTACCAAATAACTGTTCGAAGGAAGTTAATTCTTGTAAAATCAAACTGAAGAAACTGAAGCGACTACGTTCTCGACTGATGAACGGATGATTGTACGAAATTATTTTCCTGGTTGAGAGCTTGTAACTTTAAGAGCCGGACAAAACATAAGACATTAAGGCTCCTTCAATACCCCTTCATAAGATCCGTTAACAATGAAAATTTGTTTTCTATGACATTTATCAAAGTCAGTCTGCTTTATGTTGATGTTTTACAGAAATAATAATTTCAATAAATTAAATTATGTAACTACGGGATGAAATACCCTTCTTAAAATAATGGATTATACCACTATGTAATTACAAAAGATAATAATATTGGATTATGTTTTACTTTTTTTTCAACTGTTTAACTTTGGTTCATTAGGATTTGTCTGTTAGTGGAGTAGAGCTGCAGTAATGTGTTAGTACAGCCTCAGTACTGTATTTGTGGTAGTAGAGCTGCAGTGCTGCAGTACTGCATTAGTGGTAGTAGAGCTGCAGTACTGTAGTATTAATAGTAGTAGTAGTAGCAGTGGCATTAGTAGTAGTAGTAGTGTAGCTGCAAAACTGTAGGCATATTAGTATTATTAGTAGCCGCAGTTAGACCTATCAGGGACGCATCCGGGTGGGGGGGGGGGGAGGCGTGGGAGCTGCAGCTCCCCCATCCCTTTGTACACTGTGGAAATGTAAATGTTAAAAAGCTTGTTCTTGAGCCAATACAAATTCTTTCCTGGGCCTAAGTTGTCCTGGATATTAATTAGATCCCTGATAAAAGATCATGAGAAATTTGTTGGCGCTGTATTTTGACTATATAATGGTGATTTGATGATGATGAATTTTACTATATAAAAGTGTAATTTCCGGCCATCTAGGTGTAGGCCTACTACTTCTTTAAATTTTCTCGCCTCAGCCTCAAACTTTCAGAGTGCGCTACTTCATAGGGGGATTCATCCCCACCTGGGTCCTACGTACCTCGCATAACGGCTCCCCCCCCCCTTTTCAAAATTCTGGCTACGTCCCTGAGGCCTATTGTATTAGTAGTAGTAGTATAATAATATGTTAATAACCATCTGTGTTTTTTTTTATGCAGCCTCTGAAACATAACAAGTCCGTCATCAGGTCTTCATCTCTATACTGTGGCAGCATCTTTATGCGATGATATCTCCTTGTATGGTTTCTATCCGTTTTACACATCATCGGACGGTACACAATTAAAATATCATTATTATGAAAACACATCAATGGACTACGCAAAATTACATCGCATGCCGGAAGAATTTAAAATTTTCAGAGTTTTACATAAATTTGGGTTTATTCGATTTGGATTCAGACAGATAGCTCACAAAAGTAAGCTATTGTAGGTGAGAAGTCACTTGACCGGTTCCACCGCTGTGACAATTTCACTAAAATTCTTACATTACTCAATTAATTGATTTAGTTTTCTACTCAGTAAAGTGGAGATGTTATAGACCGATCTCTCCTAAACAGAACGGCCATGGGAAGAGACACGGGAATAAAATGAAAAATCATTTATTTAAGGTTGTCTTTCAATAGGAAATAAGCATTCTTCTTTAATTTTAATTAGATATCGTATGCTTAAACACGTAAGAATAATATTTATGTGACGTATATTTTCTTGTTTGATTTACATTAAAATATGAATGTTTGAAACTACGATTTTTACAACTTAAATCAGTACGTCGAATACGCATTACCTAGCACTATATAGACTAGAGGTGGGCATAAACCAGACTTGGTCAGAGGCCAAGTGAATTTTTTATTTAACACCGAGGGCGCACCGAAACATTGATGTTTCCAGTGACCTTCCAAAAACCTCAAAGCACTGCTATTACACCACTTTATTTTTAATTAATGTTACTTTTTACATATGATCGGTGTCTGGCAGTAACAACAAGGTGTTTTCTAGCCAATGCTGCTTAGCGGGAGGGTTTTTAATTCATTTTTGCCGGCCGCAAATAGTCGCTGTCGTGTGATATATACCGATCAATCAACCCGTCATTTCATTCACCAATGATTGAATGAACGGATGAATGAACGAATGGTTAAAAGACTGAGAATCAGCAACTCAATGAATGGATCAATACATGCATAAATGAATCAATGAATGAAATTACCAGTCAAACAACAAATCAATTAATCAATCAATCAATCAATCACTAAATAAATTTCGTGTGCTGTAAATGATGGAAATTGAAACAACAATCGTTTCAAAAGTACACAGGGGCCTAATCAAAGAATATAGAAAGAATAATTAGTACGGATTTTAATGTAATCCACCTAAATTTGTTGTGCCAAAATGGATTTTATTGGCTAACTTTGTCATGTTTTAATTTCTTTTCATTCTTATACAATAAATAAAATAGAATAGAACATATATCCCAGGTCACAGCTTGGAGGACCAACCATATGCAGGGCACAACAATGCAAACAACAAAAAATACAGAAACCGTTTAAAATAAGTCAGTAAACTATTAATTACAGATAAAATTTAATAATAATTTATATTAGACAGCAATTTTCCGATTTTCCGGGGTTGAAACGCGCATTCCAAATTGAATAACTACATACTATTGCAATTTCACTAATTTTTCTATTTATTTTTTTTCATTTTATTTTTATTAACACAAATTATATCTTGAAAGTGTGCTGAATTAAAAAGAGGGAAAGTGTAATTTTTTTAAATCCATGTCATCAGCCACCATTTTGTATTTCAAGATAGCCGACGCAACATTCACCATTTTGCAAAATGGTACAGCCCTGGGTACAAAGTACGGTACACAGCTTATTTATCTTTCTTTAAAAATCAGGAACATATGAGAAGACCACTGTTTCAATGATGTAAGTTACTTATTTAATCTGTGTTTTCATAATTATTGTGTCAAATTTATAAATAATGCTTTGTGTATTTTCCCTACTGCCAAAAGATGTAGCTTATCATTGTCTTTAAATCTAGAATTTGAGAAATACTGGTTCTCGTCTCTGTTTTTTCTTTTTTCTTTTTTTGACAGGCTAGTTAGATGCCAAAACAATTAAAGCACATGTTAATCATGATTTTGGTTTGGTTCTCTCCACCAATCTGTTTTTTGTTTTACTTTTATGTTTGTTTTTTTTTATAGTTAATTTTGGGTAGTCTGTTCTGTTTTTTTTTCTCAGTTCTTTGAATCTCTTTCGTTATTCCGCTTTTTCATTACGTTCACCTTGCATTTTGTTTTACCTGGGTGGCGCTTACAGACCTTTTTTATTTTTGCCTTATAAATCAACCTAATATTATTATCATAATCCTCATAATTATCATACTAATTCATTATTTCGTTTCTTGTTAAAGGGGTAGACGGTCCAGTATAATTCGACTCTTCTCCTCTGCTATTCTCTTTACGGGAGTTGTTACAATAATGCTTGTATATATCTCAAGTTCAAATCAAAAACTAGCTAAACACTTCACTTCTAAAGTTTACCATGTGTAAGTATACAAAATTATATACTTCATTCATACACATAATTATAATTACCGAGTCCCCTGTCGTTAAATGGATGTGCCTCGTATGACAGTGATTAAATTTACTGATTGGCACTGAAATAAGAAAACAATATTTTTATTTTATCCATTTTGCAAAATGGTACAGCCCTAAAGTACAAGGTACATTGTTTTTGATAAATGTGTTTGACTACCTTGAATACACACACACACAAACACACACCCACACACACAAACACACACATATATATATATATTTTTATATATACAGGCCATCGCCAATTTGCGTCAGCGTGATGACATTATCATCAAACCAGCTGATAAAGGCTGATAAAGGCCACTGTCGTAATGGACATTAAATTCTATGAAGAGGAGTCCTTAAGACAACTGAACAATCCTCTTCACTATCGGAAGCTCACAGAGGACCCCACTCCGGAAATTTCTAATGAAGTGGAAAAATCTGTATTAAAGATGGTTAAAAAAGGTTCCATCGATTCCAAAATAATTGGACCCCATCTCATCCAGGTCAATCCGGCACCAGGACGCTTCTATGCCCTACCCAAAATCCACAAAGCAGGCCATCCAGGCAGACCCATTATTTCGGGCAACGGTACTGCTACAGAAAAAATCTCTGAATATGTGGATGATTTATTGAGACCATATGTTGTTGCTCTCCCCTCGTACATTCAGGACTCCACGGACTTTATCCGCAAAATTAACCAAATTTCAAATTTACCTAATAATACTGTTCTGGTGTTTCGTCATTATATACTAATATCCCTCAGGAAGAAGGTGATAATGCGTGCATTTCAAATTACAAGCAAATTCGGAGCAAAACCCCATCTAAATCACATCTCCGTGAACTTATCATGCTGATTCTGACCAAAGTCACAAGACAAGATGTGTATAAGAGACAGTATATACACTACTCCTAAATAACTCATAGGGTGAAAAATCCTTTGTGTACATTTCGCCTTAACGTCGTTAAAATTTCCCATTAGCGGTAGTATTTTCGCCTTAAGGTATTATTTCTAACCCTCTCCATTGTTAAGGTTTCCCCCTATGGTAAGTATAATTATAGTCAAACCAGCCACGTTGGCATTCTAAATCAATGTAGCCCTTTAGACGCACATAGAGAATAGTAGGGCGAATGTGAGCAGTTGGACCATTTTAAAATCACAGATTTGTATAACTGTTTTACGACATTCTTTATTAGATTCAGAAGCCCTATAGTGGCAAATCCAGCTTATGGGGTGGGGAAAGAGAGGGGTGGAAAGAGACCTTCACTCTTCCAAAGCCCTGCAGTGGCCAAATAAATCACTAAACCCTTGTGTGAAAGCATTTATTTAAGATAATAATAGATTGCAGAAACTCTTTTAGCGCTATCCTTGACAGAAATGTTGGTCTTTCACTGTATTTAGTGTTTAGTTGACGCTATTACTAGTGACCAAATGATTTTGTAAATACTTAATTATTATATTTAAATTATTGATATAGATTTCTGTTAAATTCTGTTAAAGGAGAGTATTTTAACAGTGATTCAGTTTCCTTTTGACAATCCTTGGCATTTTTATTTTTTTAATATTCATTTTGTGTCCATGTGTATTTTAACGTCATTTTATTGCCTAAATTGAATCAAATCAAATCAAAACAATATTGTAAACAAATTATTTTGTAGAAACTACTGGACGTTTAAACAGTTTAATGAGTCTGATAATTATAATTTCAACATTAGTTATTCAGCAACCGAAAAAGCGTACCGGTAAGTAGACATTTTAAACATGACAATATCTTTATTTTAGAACACTTTTTCATTTTGCGGACAAAAAACCTAGTTAAACTGGGTGATGTGATTAAACACGTATGGCGCTTCATTATTATCATCGATAAATAGCCACAATATTTAGAATTGAAAAAGGTGTTTAAAAATCACTTTTATCTTATATATAAACGTAGTTAGATCAATTGAAAGTGTACAAGTTTCCTAACCAACAAATTTACAGTATGTATTAACTAGAGGGCACTCAGATAGTGCATACCTCCGTTCACATCATAATTCTCCTCAGTATAAATTTTCCCTGCATTTTGTCCCCATAAAAATTAAAACAACAATGTAGAGTCCTTGGGATTTGAACCCGGGGGCTGGTATTGTGGAAAACACTCTTCAAAATTTAGTCACGTCTAAAACTTTGGTAAGGGAATATTGTGGCTAAGTTTGAGATATTTCTGATAAAAACTGTTTTAAAAAAAATTGTTTTTTGTTGATTGTGACCTTGACGTAGTACCCTTCAACATTCAAATACTTTGAGATATTTGGTCATGGAACATTGGGATCAAGTTTGACAAGTTTGTGATTAACCCGTATATGCTGTAGACAAATAATTTTTTTAAACACTTTTTCGTTGATTGTAACCTTGGCCTTTGACCCTGACCCTTTAAAATATAATCAGCTATAGATCTTAATAACGGTAATACGATTATAAAGTTGCAGTTTACAACGGTAATTTTAGACCTATTCGAATTTTATAATTAAACGTTGTTGCAACGTTTTGCTAACGTTATTTTCCTTATTAACTTGTTGCGTTTGCTGGGGTATGGCCACTGGCACGAGATGAAAATGATGATACTAGATTAAGTAAAGGCACGACAGGAGTTTTTGAATGTTGATTCGCTAAGCATTTAGACTAGAAAAAAAATCTGAAAAAAATGAGTTAGGGGGAGTGGAATGTTAGAAGCAATCCACATAGCCAGATATCCTAATTAATGCCTTCTGGTCACCCTAAGCCCTGTTGACACTTGATTTTACGTCTTGTATACAAATGACGGCCATTTTTCAAAATGGCCGCCAAATTTATCTAAAATGTGCATAAAATTGGAACTAAATAGGCTACAGATATGATGTTGGTTTCTAAACTCATCTAGACAGGCAACAAAGTAGACATATGAAAACTACTGTCACTCATGCTAGAATGGAACATAATTAAAAAAATAGGTGTTTATTTGTTTTAAATTAATCGCAAAATATACTTAAAAAGTACATAAAATAAGAACGAGTATATCAGCTACTAGTAGAGTTTTCTATGTAATCCAGACAGATTACTGTGCATAAATATATTTTATTGACTAATTTAATCATTTTTACTGAGCTGAATTAAAAAAAGTTAGGTGCCATTTTTTCCCAACGTCATCGGCCACCATTTTGAATTTCAAGATGGCTGACTCACCACATAAAACATGGTCATGATTGGTGTCAATGGAAAGTGAATTATACACTGATCATTTATTGTCATTACACCTAAACAATATAATAAATATTTACAGCGATATAGATCAATATATAAAGTCACAAGACACAAAAGGTCAAAAAATCAAACTTACCAAAAGTTGTCGTGTTTGGTATCATTTGAAAGCTCTGCCAATGATGAGTTATGTTTTATACATACGGTATATACATATTAGAAACTGTGTAGTTTTTCATATATTGTCATGTAAATCTAATTATGGCATACTGTATAAAAAAATAAACAGGACTCAGTTGCCTAATGTTCGTGCGCTCTCGGGGTGGGGGGTTTGTTCTCTTACTACTAACTAGCATTTTACTATCGAGTCTTAATCGTGCATAACGCATATGCTTTATGGGCCAAGTTCCAGTTCAAATGGGTCCTTGAGAGGCCACGGGGGCCGAGCCCTTCTTACTACTGTACTACCCATCACTCTATTAAAACGCCTTGTAACTTTTTCTATAATTTTCAAAAAAATCAAATAGAACAAAATCCCACAAACACACTCTTTGGCTGATATATTAGATGGGTTCAGTCCAACTACGACCCATCATTTTACTATGGAGGTTTGACCAGATATGTACACCTGTGTGCTTTCTGGGGAAATGCTTAGTTCCTCCGAGTCCAAATGAACCCCGGATAGGCCAGGGCCCCACTCTCACTTCATGGTGGCCAAGGCAAATACAGTATGTTGTGTTTTCTTAATTATTGATGATTCTACATACAGTAATATTGTAACTATAAACAATGGTACCGTTATGTTACGTGCTGTATTCCACACTAAATCAAAATGGAATATTCACTGCCTGTTATAAGATCCCAGTTTTAGTATTGCAGGGGTTCTGAAGGCTTTACAGTATAACCAATTCCCGTATTTCTGATAGATTGCTGATTAAAATGTAAAATATCTAATGTAAGATTTTAGATTCAGTACATTCTCAAATGTTATGTAAATCTCATATATTCCAAAATTACGTTATATTCATGCACCGAAGTAGAACGTTTAACTTAATAATTTTGATATGTTTTATGTTGAATGGTTTTTAATATTATTACAGTCTAATATATCCACAACATAAGGAAGTCCTCTCCTTTAAACTTTTAACCTACTAAACTTTGAGTATCTCAATATACATATATATTCCCTTAAATCAAGGAACTCCACTCGCTAAGTTAATATAGGGCTATATAGTATAGAGAATTTTGTCTGTCAATCTCAGATATCCGAATTTTAGGAAATTATGTTTGATATGTATATGTTTTATTTTGTAATACCATACACAAATGTACGGTATTATTTATTTACTAAAATAATATTTAATTTGTATACAATAAAATTTTATCACTGAGAGAACAGATAATTATGTCAAAATATTGTATATACATGGAGGCTTCATGATCAAAAGTTCTTGCCAAGATTTGGTAGGTTGGTCCATGGCGCGGCTGGGCTGCTGGGCCGCGGCTTGGTGCCTGGAATCGTAAATAGGCCGTGAAGCAAAATGTTTGCAGAACGCTGAGTTAGAGCATGTTAAAACAAAAAATAGGTACCTTTCTATATTCAATAATAGGCTCTTTTAGGCCTATCTATTTTCTTCCTCCATGATTACAGTAACACTTAAAATTCAGAGACGAACAAAAATTTACTTCCGCCATAATATATTGTACAGTAAAGCCTACGATTTCTGGATCACTTTTTGTTCAGGTCATCTAATAGGCTTGAAAATATCAATTTAAAGACGTTTGAGTAACAAAATTCATTGATTGTTTTTAATAAAGTGTCACTTTGATACCAAAAATTATGTTGCTCTGAAACATAATAAGGCCAATTTGAACAAAATGACCATCGTCCTTTAAGGTCCAATTGATGATGTTGCAGGCGTTTATCGGAATATCCGAATTATTAGTAGGCCTATAATGTTTTACTGTATACATTATTTTAATCGATTTCAACATGCTATGTATAATATTAATAATAGACCTACAATGATGGATAACCATGTATTTTATTCTTTATTTATTGATATGTTTAACAGGGGCGTACGGTGAAAAATCTAAGGGGGTTACTCCCCCTAACTTGATTTTTAGGCCTCTTTTTTTATTTTCTTCCTAGTCTAATTTGCCATACTGTGGCAAATCCAGCTTGCGGGGTTGGGGAAGAGAGGAGTAGAAAGAGACTCTCACTCTCCCAAAGTCCTCCAGCACCAAAATAAATCACTAAAGCCAACTAAAATAGTTGACGCTATTACTAGTGACCAAATGAGCTTACTGAGGGTGTAACACTTGGCAACCCACCCTTCCCCTAGCCTGGCCCGGAAACCATTGATTGCTAGGCCGTGTTATTTTGGAAAGTTTCAACGTAAGTTTCCCGCCTAATCTTATAATTTAATTAATTTTGATTTTGTAAATAATTAATTATTATATTTAAATTATTGATATAGATTTCTGTTAAATTCTATTAAAGGAGAGTATTTTAACTGTGATTCAATTTGCCTTTGACAATCCTTGGTATTCGTAATCTTTTAATATTTATTTCGTGTCTAATGTATTGTAACGTCATTTTATTGCCTAAATTTAATAAATCAAATCAAATCAAAATAATATTGTTATAAAATTATTTTTTAGAAACTACTCGACGTCTAAACAGTTTAATGAGTCTGATAATTACGACTTCAACATTAGTTATTCAGCAATCGAGAAAACGTAAGTAGACATTAAACATAGACAGATCTTTATTTTAGAACACTTTTGCGCACATACTATATTGCTCTTCAGTATCATACCTTCGATATATTGGCATTGAAAAAAGGCTTTCAAATCACTTTTATATTATATGTAAACGTAGTTAGATCAATTGAAGTGTACAAGTTCCGCTAACAAATTTATTTATTAATAACGTTGATAAGTTTATAATGTTGCAGTTTACAACGGTAATTGTAGACCTATTAGAATTTTATAAGTAACGTTGTTGCAACGTTGTGCTAACGTTGTTTTAGTAATTAACGTGTTGCGTTTGCTGGGCTATGGCCACTGGCACGAGATGAAAATTATGGTACTAGATAAAGTAATGACACGACAGGAGTGCTTGATTGTTGGTTCACTATGCATTAATTGATTAGCAATTATACTTTTAGATTGTATTCGTTGAGACGTCTTCTTCCACACAAACTTGTCATTTTGATTGAAAACCAAACAGTGAAACAAAAAAAGACACTAAAAACGAAACAACGAAGGAAAGGAATGAAAAGGAGAAACAATGAAAAATCAAGAAATGACTTTAAAGCGCTGTCAATTACTTTGCTTCAAAATGCAAAATGGAGGAAAGTTCCAAAGCAATTGTCAACAGTTCCGAAAAAACTGTCTTGTGCAGTCATTGGAAATTCTGGCATCCTACTCAATAGCTCTTGTGGATCTGAAATCGATTCACATGAGTTTGTATTACGTTCAAACATCGCGCCAATTTTAGGCTTCGAAAAAGACGTTGGATACAAACACGACTTTTCTTCATTAAATCTTGAACTTTCACGGATCGCCACTTCTTGCTTCGAAAATTCATCAAAACCATGTTTAAACGAAATGCTAGATAGGTTCAAGGTGTATGATAAATCAGTAATCTGGCTTTCCAAACTTCAGACTAATATGTCGAAGGCAATTTATCTCAGAGTAATATCGCAGCTACATAAACACAATATATATCCAAAGATTGCATATCCTTTCAGGCCGATTGGAAGCCGTATTATAAGGTAATTATATTATTGATTATACTACACCTTAGCCAACTGGGCCATTTGAGTGGTCTTTCCGATTAAACTAATGCTTCACACTCACTTTACTACTGCAGTAGCAGTAGTATTAGTAATAAAAGTACGTACCGTATGTTAATAACCATCTGCTTTTTATGCAGGCTCTGGAACATAACAAGTCCGTCATCAGGTCTTTATCTTTATACTGTGGCAGCATCTTTATGCGATGATATCTCCTTGTATGGTTTCTATCCGTTTTACTCATCATCGGACGGTACACAATTAAAACATCATTATTATGAAAACACATCAATGGACTACGCAACACTACATCACATGCCGGAAGAATTCAAATTGTTCACGGTTTTACATAAATTTGGGTTCGTTCGATTGGTTTCAGGCAGATGTGCACAAGATAGTAGGTGATTGTAAGTTCTGGCTAAAATATTTTGAATGAAAAAAAATAATGTTTTATACAAATCTACAATTTTTGTAATGTACTATTAAGGAAATCAAGTATTTAATTAATTTTAAATGGTAGAAAAGTGAGTTTGCTTTCAAAATATCAAAAATTATTCACTGATGCCAAGCATTATAGTTAAAATGTATTCCCATTGTTCTAACATGCTTGTTAACAATATAAACCTCACGTCCAGACATATACCAGGTAAAAAGAACTTATTGTGTGATGCACTGTCTCGGTTTCATGTAAAAGAAAAGCTACTAAAAGAGAGCAACATGCGGCCGCATCCTCTACAAATTCCGTCACACCTGCTACGGGTGTCTATAAAACGAAGACTGAAGACCGAAGACCCAAAAACGAAGACCCCTATCTTTTCTCTTTCATTTTGATGATAATACACCAGGCTCTCACAAAATAAAAATTACGAAATTTTTTGGGAGTCTGTTTGTGAAATTTTCAATGGGTGTCTACAAAACGAAGACCGAAGACCAGAAAAACGAAGACCCACATTTTTTTTCTTTTAATTGTGATGAAAATAATGTTTTAAATCACTTCAAGCTATGTATATTTAGTACTCGTCTTTTGGTTAATCACAACTTAAATTTCATGTGCTATAAATTGATAAAAATAAAAGCAAGAATTATTTAAATTATACATAAAAGGTACCGTATTATACAGTGTTCGAATGAAGGACATGATAGCCCACCGTGTAGCATAGCTCTCAACGAATGTTGTCCTATATAGTATTTTGTGTAATATGTCACATTGCTCATTCTGGACTGCACCACCATGGCCGGAGCTAATTTTGGAATTTTCTGGAGACAGTCAGAGTAGGGGGCCTATATGCGACGCCATGAATTTTGTTTTCACAGAATTCACTTAGTAGGCCTTACCAAATATTAGGGCCTGGGGTATAGGCTAGTTTCTTGCTCGAGTGATCGAGAGATCAAAAGCTCTATTAAGCAGTTACGGTAGTTTCTTTATTATAATAATCAACCAGATGTGCAGTGATCTTGTTCTTCTGTGAAATAGACACATGCAAATTCATTGTAACACGGCAGTTATCTTTATTACAAAACGTCAAGGCACCTAAACTGTGAACTGCAAACCAAAACAATCACAGAAATAGCAAACAGGCCACTAATCTGTATAATGCACACACCATGCACCGAACTTGAATGAAGTGTATTACTCAAAGAATATCGGATCAAAAAGTACCAACTTCCTTAAGTTAGCTGAAATCTCTACATGTACTGTCTACTGTATTAGCTATCTATTGACAACAACTACTTTTTACATTTGAAGGTTGTAACTTTTTTTTTCGTGTACAATCACGCGTAGCCTATTCATTCTACACGTGCAAAATTTAATCCTTATTGATTAAATGAAAATAATTAACTCAATAACTAATATAGAATATGAATATTAAATTGGAAAAACCAATTGTAATATTCTACTGTTTTCCTAGGTTTCGAAAAAGCATTTCACGTATGAAATAAGCAATAACATTTTCTAAAAACTTGGACACTAAAAGGCGCAAATTATTAGACTAATATTCATTTAATTTTTGATATATACTTTAAAAAGTGTAATTTATGACTAGGGGGCGCTGTTAACATTAGTCCCAAATTCAAAGTATTTTCTACAGTCTAGGTCATTCGTGTGTCAAGTTTTATAATTTTATTGAAGAGTGCTTGATCGATTCGAACTGTATGCTTTAACCGCGCCGCTGAGCTAAAATCATTAATTATTCTTTACATTATTTTCTATCGCACAACGACAAGCAACTAACAATTTCGCGTACAATTTCGTGAAACAGACAGAAAAACAAAATACGCTTCATTGTATGCCTATGTTATATACGTGGATACTCTCGATATCTTTAATAACTAAATTGAAGAGACGATAACAAAGACTCTAGCTAGGTAACCACAAAGGCAAGAGCATTGCTTTCTTTTGGTGACGTAGCTTCACTCATTGGGGTACCGTCGTCAGTGTGAATATATCGTACTGAGAGAGAACAGGTTATCTGGAATTGAAAATTTAAAAATGATATTATATTGATTGGCCAAATTTTATTTCTAATTGAAACTTCCACTAATCTGGTAGGAATATTTAGTTCGGCTCTGTGCTGTTTATGGTGAATTTAGATGAAAAAAAAACACAACTTATGACAATTTAAAGGAGTTGATAAATGTGCTTAAATTAGTAATGAAAAATGTCGGAAAATGACAAAAATAAAAATGATAGATCGGGTGGTAATGTAAAAGGGTCAGTACGGTACATTACCACCTGATCTATCATTTTTATTTTTGTCATTTTTCCGACATTTATCATATGAGTTTAATACTAGGTTAGAGCCGAAATCCACTATGATAATATAATATTACACATAACAAAGCAACAAAACATAAATATACATATTAAAATTCAAAATAAATAAGTAAGGGTGAACAACAGCGAAGTATAAAGAAACAAAGTTTATGAAAATTCAATTTTAAAACAAAGTATAATCATCGATATTCTGCAAATTGAAGCAGGTCTTGTATGAACTGTTCACAGCTTTCTCCATCCAATCTGATCTTGTGCCTTAATATTTATAATAATAATAATAATAATGATAGTAATAATAATAATAATAAAATTAATGATAATAATAGGCCTATATGTATAAGTATATATATAAGCCTATATATATATATATATACAGTATATAATAATAATAATAATAATAATAATAATAATAATAGATGGAATTTATAATATGCCGGTGTGGCGCATTGACATGTCTGAGATATAGGCCGAGATAAATAAAACAAATAAATAAATAACGACTTAAAACACAAACATTTCTACCCTTCATTCTCTTCTGTCTAATTTTGTTTTGGGTACATCTCTCACTCTGCTAATCTCCTCATCTCCTCCACATTTAATAATTTCTCTCTCTCTCTCTCTTCTTATACCCCCCCTCTCTCTCTCTCTCTCTCTCCAAACTAACCTTTAAACATTCTTCTCTAAATCCACATTTCTAAATAATTTAACAGATATTCCATTTCTTTCTTTGAATAATTTTTTTTTATAACAAACAAAGCAAAAACCACACATACTACTGTATACAGAATTACAAAATCCGTAAAGTAAAACACTGGCAACGGTTTTACGGTAGGCCTATCAAAATTGCAGTATTTGAAATTTGTCCGTGCCAATTGAGTATTACGCCAGTCACTACGTTACATAGGTTTATCTCTCAGCAGAACTGAGTTGTCGAACGCTGACCGTATATACTCCATGACCGGCTTGATAACATCGAACTCGTTAACTCCCATGAATATATATGAATTTTTATTTTTTTTGACATATTTTTTAAACTTTCAAAGAATAATAAATTTGTGAATAGTTTACTTCTTAGATCGTCATAAATGTTGCAATTTAAAATAAAGCGAAACTCATCTTCGACTTCTCCAAAACGCTATGATTCAAATATCCAACTACATTAATTACTTATGTTTTGTTCTCTTTTGCGTAAAATTCTTATGTATTTATCCATCTTTCGTACGTTAATTTCGTTCAAGTTATTCAATCTTCTCCTATCCTTACTTTCCACTGAATCAACTTTATAGAGAGAATTCAAATAACAAAAAACATAACAGTAGCTTAATTTGGTTTAGTGCGTTCAATAGTTTATTTATTTAATTATATGATTTTAAAAAGAATATTTTGGCGGGCTTACCGTGGTACTGGTTGTCATGACACTCGCCAGTTGCTGTACACCCAGTGTTGCCCCTGTCGTACTCCCAGAGACGGATATCGCAAAGTCATTAAGAACAATTCCTCCAGCATACCAATTGACGTCGTATGTTATGTTCCTCTGGCATGGAACATTGAAGGTACAGACAAACTGGAATGCCCCAGCTTGTGGCTGAATAGGCCTATATTCCAAAAAAGGTGTAGGCCTACATGTGTCAGGTGGTGGATCGGCTGAAACATTAAATATACACAAATAATATAAAGTGTGTTTAACTGATCTACGAAATCATTATTATTCATTAAACCCCCAAATATATCATTGTTTGACATTAAGGTTATATCTAGCAATTTTCGCATTATATCGTCACCATCATGGAAGCGGTTTTACGCAGCAGGATCGGTTTGGTTTCCTAACTTCGACGTCTGGGATTCAATCCCTCGCTGTGCCTCTCGCTTGTGTGTGTCCTTGAGCAAGGCATTTTTCTATGCTTTGCTTCTCTCCACCCAAGAATATACATGAGTACTTGATGGGGTTGACTGCTACTGCGCCATGGCAAAATCAAATATAATGATGAAAACAGATTGTTTGTATTGATGGTGCCTTCTCTGAACCCCTAGAATGTACCCATGGAGTTCCACAAGGAAGCATATTAGGTCCGCTCCTCTTTAATTGTTACATTAATGATATGTCAATATGTATTAATAATGAATGTAAACTCTTATTATATGCAGATGACAGCGCCATTTTGTTAGCTCATCGTGACCCATTGTACCCATCGACTATGCTGCCTCTGCCTGGTATGTTGGTATAAGTGTTTCTCTAAAAAATAAACTACAAGTAACTCAAAATAAGATCGTAAGGTTTATTCTGGACCTCGCCCCAAGAGCACATATCGGACAGAAAGAACTTTCCTTACTTGGATATCTTAATATAAGTGATAGGGTAAAATTTCTTAGGCTGGTTTATGCTTTAAAATTTTCAATAATATGGATGCTCCTTATTTAGCTGATAATTTTATAAAGATTTCTCAACAACATTGTTATAGAACTAGAATTTGCAATGACAATTTTGTAATTCCAAATATTAAAGGCCTAGCTTCGAAAACGTTTTATTACAATACTATCAAAGACTGGAATGGTCTACCATCAAACATTAAGTGTATTAACAAACTAAACGAATTTAAACGTGCGGTAAAGACTCACCTTGGAAATGTGCAAAAACCATGATTTGTTTCTTGTTTTTTTATGAACTTACTTGATTGCTTATGGGACCCCATTGGAATTAAGCTGTTTTTCAGCTTTATGGGTTATCCTGGTACTTTATCATTGTTCTTTGTTCTTTGTGAATTTTTGAGTACCGAATAAACAAACAAACAAACAATAATAATAATAATAATAATAATAATAATAATAATAATTATAATAATAATAATAATAATATAATAACATATGGTGACCCAATGACAAGGTAAAACCATGGAGGAATTAGTTTAGCATGGTATCTTAATGGAAAGGCGCTATATAGATACAAAGTTTAAAAATAAAAAACAAATAAATCACCAATACCGTCAACATCATAGTCACCGTCAACACCATCAACAACACCACCATCGCCATCAGCAGCACTACCATCAACATTATCATCATCATAATCATTATTTTCCTTAACATGGCAGCCTAATATAAGTGATCTACATACGCCAAAAAGAAACTGTTAACAGAAAAAAAAAAATCATTCGCAGTATTTAATTTTAAGCTATTTTGGGACCCAACAACTGCAACTCACCCATACAATCAGGCGTGTAACCATTCGGAGACTTTGTTTTCGGTGGACAAGGTTCTTCTTTACCTGCAAAGCAAATTCACAATCAGAAAAAAGCGTTTAATCTCAAGTTGAAAAATTTTACCAAATTAAATCAACTTGTTTAGGAAATCACAATCAGTCGCAACAAATTAATTAAACAAGCTTTTAAACAGGAAGAAATACAATATTTTTATAAATTTTATTTTAAAAAAAAGTAGAGAAACGGTTTTGTGGAATACACTTTCAGATTCAACCAATAACCAATTTTGACTCTACTTCATGAAGTTATGTTATTGCCTGTCAACTTCATAGCATTCCTTTTTTTACAGTACCGGTAATTAATTTAAAGCCGAGGCCACTTCGCGACGACGGTCATCGGCCGACGCTATTCAGAAAACAACGCGACAAGTCTGCTATCAGCATACGACGTTTTTTTTGTCAGCAAGTGCTCAATGAGAGCTTAGCAGGGGTGATGCTAAGATTTGCCCGACGGGAGCTAGATATCCCGACGAGGAAATGGGTGGGAGGTGGGAGGGTTGTCCAATTCTTTGGTTTCAAAAGCTTACTTAATCGAGTTTAGAGTCTACTGATATGTAAAAAAATACATATAATTAATAATTGGCCGTCTCACCTCACATCCTATCCCCTTGAGCAGAGATAGATTTGTTGGTCGACGGTTTTACGACTGCCGTACAACACATGCCTACCATTATATTTTTTCCTCTTAACATTTATTAGATAATTTATTCAATAGATTTTATAAAATTGACATAGGCTATCATTTACCTGCGCAGAAGCCTTCGTTGCAATCCTGAGGCTGGAAAAGTTTGTAGACATAAAAGTTGTCGGCACAGTTCTTTACCTCAATTGTGTTCCTACCGATACAACAGTTGTCTTCTCCGTTGACACTTGCACTGGTACATACTGTCCTACATACAGCGCCTTCGTTAGAAGTCGGATGATCACCTATTAATACAAATATGCAGTTGGATGATCATGATGGTAGTATATATATATATATATATATATATATATATATATATA